TTCCCTTGAAAAAGAAAAAATTTAAAACATAGAACACCAACTGAGAATGGAAGAAAGGCCGTGCTGAAGAAGACAATTTACCTTCATCTTGTCCTCAAGCTTTTCACAAAGAACTCGGTTGAGTTCTTGGACATCATGTTGCATGAAAGAATCATATGTATCCCAACCAAACGACTTTGTCAGCTCCTTTGTCGCTACACTGGTATCATTATACTGAAGCTTGTAAAACAAACTCTGGAGCGCCAATGGGATACTAGCAGTAGGTGCATCATTTTCAGTCGTTGGCATGTGGTACACAGCCTACAAGCATGGGTGCATTATTCAGATGTCTTTCTCTAAAATTTAGTGAACTCATGATAGCAAATAGAAAAAGAAAACAAGACATGCATCCAACCTTTCTGAAGTAAGGTATGTGGTATAAAGTCTGCAGGAGAGAATTCATGTAACAGGTAGCACCTTGGTTTTTTAGTCCAACAAAACCAGTCTCTTTTTTTGAGTCATATGACCAGTAATCAAGAACTTTACGCACAGCAACTTCAGCTTCAATCAGAACAGTGTCATTCACTAAATATCCTCGAGTGGGATCATAGAGCTCGCTGAGAGGCATGAATGATGTAAAGCCCCAATCGCTTTCTCTTGCATTGAATTGATGTTGCGTCTCTGCAGCCACGCGCAAAGATAGTTAACTCAGTAAAAACTGCATCTACTTATCAGATAACAAAGTCATTGGCTGTTTAGAAAGTTCAAAAGAGTAAAACACATTAATAATTAATCGTTTTCACTAAGTTTTTACGTAAGGCATGGTCAATGTTTAAGAAAGCGGTAGCTTGACTCCATTTCAAAGTCTACCATATACTCCTTTTACAAATCCAAAATTATAAATCCAAGAAATAAAAATCTGCCAGGAAATTTACATTTAACGCAGGCATTCAGAGTTTTATATATGTATGAACAAAATTAATAAAGTAAGATACCCTTTCTGATGGAATATCGGTTGTTGACTTGATTCACTACAGCCAGACTGAACTGTGAATATCTGCTCCACCCATACGGCAAATTCGCGGCGTCAGCAACATCCAAGTACATTGACAAATGGTCGACATTGTTTCCTTTGGGAAAAATCAATATACGCCTGCAAGAGAAAAAATCAGCTCACATGACGTCAACCAATAAAATGCACATCAGGGATTGAAATTGCAAAAAAAAATGCATCAAAAAGTGTATATGCCATTACCATTTATAACCGCCAACAACAAATACATCAGAGTAATGCTTCCTGGTATTGAGCCTAGTGAAAATTGGGATGGTCCAGGTGAATTTCAGAGTTGGAGGATCCTCGGGTGGCGGATTCTCCACGGCGGAAGCAGCAGGCTCAGTTTGGGCAACTACAAATGCACCAACAATCGTTAAGATATCCACAACCCAAAAATTGACAAAACCCTAGCGCACAGTGAAAACATCAATTTTACACCCCAGCACTATCGACAAGTGCTAAAGCATCTACATCAAACCAATCAAAGTAGAACACAGACGAGAGTAGAGTAAGCAGATCGAATTCTCAATTAAACACGAAAATCTAACCTTCCATAGGCTGAGGTCCCTCGACCAAATCCGGATTCGGAACAAGCATCTCCTCGTCTTCCTGCTGCTGTCAAAACCGGAAGAAGAAAAATCAGACTTGTGACTATTTAGAAACCCTAATCTCCCAACCCCGTGATCAAAACAGAAACCGCAATCATCAAAAACGACACAAAAATACAGAAGCAAATTAAAAAAATCTAAGAAAACAAAACCCTAATGGATCAGCGAAACGAAGAGAACAACGAAGCCGAAGCAGGTTAAGGTCGAATACGCGTAGAAACCCACGAACACGACATCAAATTGACACAAACTAACAATAAAAGGTTAATCGGAGATTACATCAAGCGGCGGCGGAGTCATCATAGTCATTGCTCCGAGAGCGATTGACGGTCGGATCGAGAGAAGCAGAAGAGAGCGCCGAACAGAGAACAATGGAAAGGGAGAAGAAGAAGAAGAAGAACAAGTGAGGGAAGAAATAGAGAACTTGAACAGGGAGAGATCAATCGCTTTATTTCTCTGCTTACTCTTTCTCACTTTTCGATAGTATAATTACGATATTTTCACTAAATTAAGGGTTTCTAATGTAATTCTAATTACTATTTGGATTTAGTTTTATATGTTCCCCTGAGTGTTTGTCTGAGAAACGTGACAGGCTAATGAGAATGCGACAGATACGACTTTTAAGATGCTTTCACCAATTAAATATGTCCACGTGTCTTTAACGTGACTGTGACCGTGACGGTGTGGGAGGTCTTCGGTGAACTTTTGGGCTTCTCTACTCTATTAAGTTTGTTTTGAATTTCTCTTCTATATTATTGTAAAGGGCTAAATAAGGTTAAATGAAAAATGCAAGTTTCATATATTTTAGGAAATTTCAAACAGAAGTTAATGCTAAGATTTTGTTATATATTCTTGTCACATTAGTTTAAATGTGAATAATGTATACTAAAAATAGCAGATCAATACTTATCCACCTTCATCTATAAGTTTTGCACTTTTTTGACAAGTTTGTATTTAACATTAATTTGTTACAATGTTCTTCATTACAAAAAAAAAATTATAGTTTGATTTTTATAAAACATTCAAACTAACATGTGGCACTTTGCTAAAACTTTACATTTGCTTTTTCCATTTCATTAAAAAAAAAAAAAACCAAGAATCCAAACCAAGACCTAATTAAATAATCAAAATCGCTAGAGGCAATATTTCATATGATAGGATCAAACATTTCTTCCATTCCATGATAGATATTAGATAATGTTTAGTAGTCTACTTATTTGTAAATAAAAATATAAAATAACAAATTATACCAAATAAATATGTGGTAGTTTTTTCTTTTTTTTTATGTGGGAGCTTTCTCGTGGTTTTACCACTTGGTTTTTGTATGAAAAAAAAAACTGTCGGTTTCCGTCGGTTATCTCTTTTTAAGATGTTGTTTCGTTTCATATAGAGAGAGTGCCTGTAAATATCCGTTGCACACTCGTCTCTTTTTTCTCATATTTCAATCATCCTTCTGATATTTGAGTTGTTTTCATTTTTCTCAAACTGATGATGATGAAATCGATATATATATATATATACATATATATGCTTATTGTCTGGTCATGGCTATTTATTTCCAGAGTGTTGTTTTATATTTGACTATTATTGCAATAGACCTTAACTTCAGCGATGATTCCAATGTACAGACATTCATGGAATTAATCACTTGGCAAAAAAGAACATTCATGGATATTTTATCGTCTGTTTTTCGTATGATCATTGTCGAGAAGGACAATGCTATTATTTCATGGTACCCTAGGTAAACATAGCTTGAGTTTACTTCTTAAGCATTTCCCTACATACTGTATTTAATTTGTTTCATATACTTTAAACCCGAATTGAATTGGGTCCATGAATCTAAGAAATAGTGAGAATTCTTGATCTCTCCTTTTTTTTTTTTCCTCAAACACCATTTCTATTAAGATATCGGAAAGAGACTCTCCGCTAGGGAGAGCCAATCAGGAACCGACGAACTTGCATGGGAAAATAGACTGTTTCGAGCCCGAGCTTTTTTGGCTAAACAATCAGCTTGAGTATTAAACTATGAGGGAGAAATCTAATACTAAACGAAGGGAAAAAACAAACAAGTGACCGGAAAGAGGACATTTCTGCTGCAAAAGAAGGCCAAGCCTCTTGGTTGTCTATGAGAGATATCAAGTCAGAGCAATCAGATGCGAAGGCGCCATTAGTAATGCCTAGCGAGATCAAACAATCCATTGCCCAAAGCAAAGAATCAATCTCTGCGTGGAGCGGTGAGAGGCTTCTTCTCGAACTCTTTAAGCCAAGTTGAAGAATACGATCTTGGTCGACTAAAACCCAACCATGTCCACTTAGAGTGTCCTCCGAGTGCCAGGAAGCATCAATCTGACATTCCGAGATCCCGGGAGCGGGAGAGGGGAGTAGAACCGCTCGGGCGAGAGGCTCGGGATCTGTCGCTTCTCTCATGTTTGCTTTCTTCCAAACAGATGCTTCTCGTAAGGCCAAGACCAGAGTCTCCTGAGGAGGTTCTTTGAAGTTTTCAAAGCAAAATCTGTTACGACTTTTCCAGATATACCACAATATCCATGGAAAGAGTTCCAGAGTATCCTCTTCTATTCCGAATTCTTTCCCACGCCAGAAAAGAAAGTCGAAATTATAGAAGAGGGAACTTCTGGGAAAAATGTGCCCTGAGGTGGGAATGGGTGATAAGGCCCAAATTTGCCTCGAAGGCGGACAATCGAAGAGAAGATGGTTTATTGATTCTTCCGGACTCCCGCAACGGGGGCATCCTTTCTCGTTGCCAATATGGCGATAACTTAATCTCTGAAAAGTGGCTAAACAGCCTGAAACACATTGCCACGCGAAATGCATAAGCTTTCGCGTAGTTTTTAACTTCCATACCTGTGCCTGAAGTGCCGAAACACCAGGTCCCTGAAAAGGGGGGTCACAGGTAGGACGAGATAAATCTCGCGCGGCCCAGTATCCTGATTTAACAGAATAGTTTCCGGATTTGGTGTGCGACCAACTATAGCCATCACTCAAGTAGGTACGACTTGGTCGAATTCCTAAAATAAGTGGGATATCAGCGGGGTCAATCAACACCTGAAGGCGATCCAGCTTCCAAAGCTGTGTTGATTGATGAATCAAATCGTTGACATAGAGAAGAGAGTCTCTTGTAATTGATCTCTCCTTAAGATTCCCTTTTTAAAACAAACAGTTCCTTATGTGATCATATTTATGGAAATTGTTGGGCTGACTTTAGAACAATCAGATTTTAAATCCAACAAACAAAAAAAAATCAAAACAAAGGAACAAAATGCCTAAGAAATTTAATTGTTATTGAGGTTTTGATTTGTTTTTTTTTTTTTTTAAATTCAATCTTGATTCGGATAATTTCATTTGGTTTGGTTTATTTCTCATATATATGCAAGTATATAATTAAATGAGTTAGATTGTAATTTGACTGTGGACTAATGAATGCATGATCTAATTTCCACACTTACCTAAATTGCTTATCTTCAATTCTTTCCTAATAACTAGTTGAAATCTGTTTCTATATCTCTCCATTTCAACATCTTGTTTTAGGTACAAAGAACTCTAGAGATGGACTTATCATATCAAGAAAAAAATATCAATGTGGAAAGTAAATTTGCTCGTGAAAATCCGAGAAATTCTGAGAAAGTAACAAACGGCCAAAGTTGCACTATCTCTTCGGATATTGTTTCTCCTCCATGTTCAAATTCAAATCCCATGAGCGATCACGGACATCCCGCCACACCCATTCGTGAAGCCGTCTCTCAAAATCCGATGAAGGAAATCTCAATCGATGATTCATATCTTCCACCACATCCTCAGCTACCGAAACTTGAGCCGCCACGTGGCCGTCGTGTCTCTTTAGAAGAATTGTTGCATCCACCGGAGAAATTCACCGCCGATCTGATGAAATTCGTACGTCAAAGCGGGAACGCGATTTCGAAACGCATCTCGGTTTTGCTAGAGAACGACGACGACTCCGACTCGAAGAAGACGATCGATGATGACGTGACCGAGTTCAAAATCTCTGGAGTCAAAGTTCTCGTGAAGATGAAAACCGAAGAAGAAATCAGAGGTCGTATAACTTTCTTCTCCAGATCTAATTGCCGAGATTCAACCGCCGTCAGATTGTTTCTCCGGGAACAAGGCTTCGATTTCTCGGAGATCAACATCGATGTGTATACGGCAAGAGAGAAAGAGCTGATCGAAAGAACAGGGAGTTCTCAAGTTCCTCAGATATTCTTCAACGAGAAACACTTCGGAGGATTAATGGCGCTGAATTCTCTGAGAAACAGTGGTGAATTTGATCTGAGGGTTAAGGAGTTTTTGAAGGAGAAGTGTTGCGGCGATGCACCGGCGCCGGTGATGTATGGATTCGACGAAGAGAGTAATAAGGATGTTGTTGTTGTTGATGAGATTTTGAGATTCGTTAGGGTTTTGAGACAGAAGCTACCGATTAAGGATCGTTTGTTGAAGATGAAGATCGTTAAGAACTGTTTCTCCGGCGCCGAGATGATCGAGATTCTCATTGATTACTTGGATTGCGGGAGGAACAAGGTACGTGATATTCAAAATTCTAATCCTGTGTTACGCACCTATGTTAACTTAACCTAGACATTGACTACGTTTGGTTTCAAATTAAACGTATTAAATTAAATCAAATCTAAAAAGATTATCTTTCCAACTTCTGATGATTGATTGACCAATTAATTAGATTTGTGTTTGGTAAATGTTTTTTTTTTTTTGGCGCTCTACTCAAAATTCAAACATCTATGATCAATGCATAAATTTGTATTTCTTTTAGAAAGTTTGTTTTTGTTGGTTTCATTTAACGTTCCCTAGAGAGTATATAAAGTTATTACGTACGTGGTTATAGTTTACGTTATTTATGCAGGCTGTTGAAGTTGGCATGAGGCTAGCCAAAAAACACTTTATCCACCATGTCTTTGGGTACTTCTCCTTTTTTTATTTTGTAAACATAACTAAATATTCTTGATTTAGTGAAATGTTCATAAACTTTATATTTGTGTAGAGAGAACGAGTTTGAAGATGGAAATCATTACTACCGTTTCCTAGAGCACGAACCGTTTATTTCAAAATGTTACAATTTTAGAGGTTCTACCAACGACATGGAGCCCCAAAATGCAGGCATCGTTGGGCAGAAGCTTTTCAAAATCATGACTGCTATTCTTGAGTCTTATTCTTCCAATGACCGTTCTTGTGTTGATTACCTGAGAATCAGCCAGAGCGAAGAATTCCGAAGGTACAATTTGGACTCAAGAGTGTTTAAATGGTTTTTAGTTTATGAATGTTTGTTTTAGTTAATTTGGTTGTGATTTTACTATGGATGAGTTAAGGTACTTGAATTTGGCTCAAGACCTTCACCGTTTGAATATTGTGGAACTCTCAACGGAAGAGAAGTTAGCATTTTTCTTGAACTTGTACAACGCAATGGTGATTCATGCTTTGATCAGAATCGGACGTCCTGAGGGAGTGATCGCAAGAAGGTCATTTTTTACAGATTTTCAGTACGTCGTAGGAGGCTACTCTTATTCACTTAGCTCCATCCGAAATGACATCCTTCGACGCGGTCGCAGACCCTCTTATCCCTTTATTATTCCGTTTATTAACGACAATGCACGACATAAGGTAATTTTAGAGTTCCAGGTCTGTTTGATACTCATATCCGTGATTTTCGGATATATCCTATAGCTCTAATCTTATGGTTTAGTGTCAGCTTGGACTTCAAAAACTGAATCCATTAGTACATTTTGGCTTATGCGATGGGACCAAATCAAGTCCAGTGGTGAGGTTTTTCACACCGCAAGGAGTTGAAGCTGAACTCAAACGAGCAGCTAGAGAGTTTTTTCAAAATGGTGGAATTGAGGTTGTCTTGGACAAGAGGACCATACATCTATCAAAAATCATCAAGTGGTAATTAATTCTCCTTACAATAATCTCTACATTGAAATTAGAAATAGTGAGACCCATTGAGATTTATATGAGTCATTGGTTATTAGTCCAATTAATGGAGTAAGAAAAGATACATTCATGCATGTATATGTTTGTATTGCGGTAAATGTAGGTACAAAGAGGATTTCAGTGAAGAGAAGAAAATGTTGAAGTGGATAATGAGTTATATAGATGCAAACGATGCAGGTCTTTTAACCCATCTTCTTGGTGATGGAGGAGGTTCTTTTAACATCGTTTACCAAGATTATGATTGGTCTATCAACAATTGATATTTAGCTTCTTTTTGTGGATATTGAAATTAAACAATTTGTCCATAAATTTTATATTAAAAGTAATCTATTTTTTATTCATGAATCAATGGTAAGTACTATCTGGATCCCGGATTTTGGCTCTTTACTCTTTAAGAATCAAAGACAATAGATGATGAAAGAAAACTTAATTTACTACCATTCACAATCTTAAAAACAACCAAGGAAAAAAAAAAACTTAATCATTGAACAAAAAACAATTCGGATAATGTCTTATGAATTATCATGCATCTATTATCTATATATGGACTAATATAGGTCACTTTTATTCTTACGTGGTTGAAGTAGAAGCCTCTTCTTTTTGGAAAAATGAGTAGAAGCTTTTTATTTTATCATAACATCATCGTCTAACTTTTCTCCTTTTTCTTTCTTTTCTTATCGAAACCTTAATTTGCTAATTTAAGATTCTCACTAGAAAAATCCACATGAACTTTCAATTTGCTCTGTTATCGAAAACAAATTTTGAATATAAATTTCTGATGACAATTATTTCACGGTTTGAGTTTTCTCACATTTTGTAGGGAACTTGTGAAGATATAGTTAGCCTTTAGATGCAGTTAAGTATAAAAATAATCGAACGGTTAGATTGAGAAACGAACAAAATACATCTGATTTCTTTCCAAGTGTTGTATAAGTTACTCCCCTATTCCCCACTTCCATTTCTTTTGACAATATAATTCGAGTGTAATCTTCATTTTTTATATTATTTTTATATCAAACAATAGATCCTTAATTAGTTTTTTAGATTATAATCTATGTCCAATCGGCAGCTAAATTCATATAACCCATGGTTTAGCCCACTGGTATAACATTGGAAACTGCATAATCAGCTTAATTATATTGTCTACTACTAAAAACTAGTAACATATTTCTTTTGAGCTCTTCAAATCCAACTAAAATTTTCTTTTTCGGCTTCTTTTTTCCTTTTTCTTTATTGTGAGTGGCGTTTAAAAAACTAAAAGCATTGATCAAAAAAAAAAAAAAAAAAACACTAAAAGCAAAAGGATCAAGATAGAGATGGCCACGATCAAAGCAAAACCATAAGCAAACAAACAGCAAACCACTAAAACATATCGCACACAGCATTTTTAATTCTATCAACATGAACTTACTTTTAAAAAATAAATTAAAAAAATAATAACGTAAGGATTATGTATATCTTATTGCACGTTACAACTTACAAATATCAGGCCACGTGTCCGGTGCACTTTGAGACGGATCATCCTCTACATGCAATATAAAAAGCATTGGAAATGAAACAAAGTTTGATCACATAACTAAAAACTATTATACGCAAGATCAATGGCGGAAGATCAAGCAACGACGGCAGTGGAAACATCGGCGGTGGAGAAGCAGCCAGAGACGACGAGAGAGGCTGAACCACCAAGTTTGACGACAAAGAGGATGGTGGTTGCGATCGATGAGAGCGACTCGAGTTTCTACGCTCTTCAGTGGGTCATTGACCATTTCTCTAATCTTTTACTGACCACTGAGGCAGCTGAGGCGGAAAGTGGAATGCTCACGGTGGTTCATGTGCAGTCCCCTTACTATCACTTTGCTGCCTTTCCGGCTGGACCTGGTGGCGCCACAGGTCCCGTCCATTGATCTCTCTTTAATGTCTCTCTTGTTTTTTTTTTTTTTTTTTCCTTTTCTGATCGAATTTTAATCGATAATCACATCTCAAATATAATCATAGTAGATATTCCTAATAACATTTTTTATTTAATTTTTAGTATTAGTCGAAAAAAATAAACATATTCACAAAAACAGAGTTGTTTACTTTATAGGTATAAATATTAATATATTATCGTGAATAACTTGGTTTTGTAACGGTTGTAGCAGCAGTGTACGCATCTTCGACAATGATAGAGTCAGTGAAAAAAGCACAACAAGAGACCTCTGCTGCGCTTCTCTCTCGTGCTCTCCAAATGTGCAGAGCCAAACAGGTCCGATTCTATAACACACATCCTAAACACATATTACTATGTAAATCTAATTATTATTGGATATGAAACGCAGTTACAAATGTTGTGTGATCCATATGTAGATACGTACTGAAACTCTGGTGCTCGAAGGCGACGCGAAGGAGATGATTTGCGAGGCAGTGGAGCAAATGCACGTTGATCTTCTCGTTGTCGGTAGTCGTGGCCTTGGCAAGATCAAAAGGTATTGTATCTTTAATAACTTTATTCTTATACATTTTACTAACCGAACTCAAAATAATTTGTTTGATTTGTGCGTTTTGGAAGAGCGTTTCTTGGGAGCGTTAGTGATTACTGCGCTCATCACGCCAACTGCCCCATCCTTATTGTCAAGCCACCTAAGGAGATGACTAAGTAATATGGATCTGGTTACATGTTTGGGTTATTAATTAGATTTTTATAAAGACTGTTATAAATTTACCAAAAAAAAAAAAAAAAAAGAGTGTTGTACGTACGTATGTGTTTTGACTTGGATAATTAGTTACATATTAAGCAAAATTGTATTTGGAAAAGTAATGTGTCAATGAAATATGAATATGGGTCGAATAATGAAGCCAAGACTTGTAGTCTGTTGCTTCTCTGCACCTATTGTATTCCCAGTCGTTATTGTTGTATGTATATAATTTATTAAAAGCATCTTGTCTTTCTAATTATGAATCTTTGTTACTCTAACCCCAACTTTCGAACCGATAAAAGGAACTAATTGATTGTTATTGATAGCATCGAACATATAAAAAAGTTCCTAGATTTGAGAAAACCGACTTGATTATCAGATTTTATAAATACTTTGAACCGATAGCGAAATCTTTAAAATTCTAGCTTCATGTAGAATAGTTGAAAAACTGACACTAAACTGATGCAAAATCGCTTAAAGCATCAAAATTTATCTATTCAAAGTAGTTCAGACGAAATAAACTTCATAAAACAAAAGAGCAAAACATCTGAGATACATATTTCAATCTAAATGAAGATAAAACATTAAACTCATTGATAAGATGGTAACCCTCTGGGTAAAAGGAAAATCCTTAACGATTGGCCTTGGCAACTCTTTCAATCTCATCCTTCTTCTTGATGGCATAGCTGCAAGTTAATAAAGTTTAAATCATTAGCTTCACTTAAGTATATATGAACAATAGTGAAGTCATTTGGGAGTGTGTTTACCTGTTGGAAGAGCCCTTGGCTGCGTTGATCAATTCATCAGCAAGGCACTCAGCAATAGTCTTGATGTTTCTGAAAGCAGCTTCACGAGCACCAGTGGTAATCAAGAAAATAGCTTGGTTAACACGTCTTAGAGGAGAGATATCAACAGCTTGTCTCCTAACAACACCAGCAGATCCAATCCTGGTAGCATCTTCACGTGGACCACTGGCTCAAGCAACATACAAAACATTAATGAGACAAGAAGCTCCTCGTTGCAATGATATTTCTGCATAAACACGCTGGCTGCTTTCGCAAATCATAAGGTTAGTAATACCTGTTGACAATGGCGTCAATGATGACCTGGATTGGGTTCAAGTCAGACAAGAGGTGGATAATCTCCATGGCATGCTTAACGATCCTCACTGCCATCAATTTCTTACCGTTGTTCCTCCCATGCATCATGAGAGAGTTGGTGAGCCTCTCAACAATGGGGCACTGCGCCTTCCTGAATCTCTTCACAGAGTATCTTCCAGCGGTGTGGGGAACAAAGGTAGCATGTTTAGCCGCCTGAACTCCAATGTAGTCAACAAGACTGATGTCTGTGACCTACAAGATGAAATAACAAACTGTTACTTATAAACACTAAGAATCAGACCCAATGACATCAGAGTAGAGACTAATCTTTAACTAAGAAAGAACAAATCACATTGAAAGCTAAAGTTCCTGCAGCTAAGTTACAGAAACTCAAAGAATTGAATCTCATTACCCCCTCAAAAAAGTGTTAACACCAAAACAAGAGCATAAGGTTAAACCACGCAATGCAAGATATAAACCCCAAAGGAGACGCCTTTAGAACTTTAAGGGGTACAAATTATTCTCACTTAAACAATAAAGCTAATTGCAGTGAAACAATGGAAATACCCATCACATCTAAAGAGAAAGATGCGTTAAAAAGGGCTAGATTTCAACCAAATCTTATACACTAATCCAAGATTGCAAATGATTGAATCTCACAGATGAAACACAAGCTATAGAATCAAAGAGAGACGGACAAATGATTCAACAAGACAAAAATTAAGAGAATGAAAGCTGAAGAAATTACCGTAACGTCGTCATAGGTCCAGCGGTTGAAGAGCTTGACCTCGTTAGTGAGCGCCTGCTGAATCTCAGCGTCAACATCTGCGGCGGTGGCCATGGCTGTGAGAGGAACAGAGTGTGAGCCCAATACACGAATACGAAATCAGAGTAATGAGAGAGGATTTGGAGAAGGAAGATCACCTGAAGATCGTTTGCGTCGCGCGAATGAGAGAGACGGCAGAGAAAACGATAAGCTTTAAGAGGACGAACAAAAACCCTAATCTCACTCCTTTTATATAGATGACAAAATTTAGGGTTTGGGCTCTAATGGATCTGTCAAAATGGGCTTTCATTTCTTTATCCAGTAACGAACCGGTTTAACAGGTTCCATGGTTTAGACGTGGTTAGCCGGTCAACTTGTGGACTCCGGGCTAGGACTACTATATTATTTTGTCTTAATAAGAATATTTTTTAAAATACATTACATAGTAATTGATAATTGATAATAAAACAAAAAATATATGGTAATTAAAATTTTGTAATGGGTGAATTCGAATAATTTTGCAGATAAATATTTTACTGTTCAGATGAAATTTAAAACTTATCTATATCTATATATACATTTTTGAATGACTTTTAGCAAATAAATCCTGGAGTTGGACCTTATTTACGGATGAATGCCATTGGCATTAATTATTTAAATTTGAAAAATATTACTTAAAGATATTACCAATACGATTTCGAGAATCATAAATTCATATCTTCCTTAATTTTCTGAGTCATTAATGTGATAATCTTTAGGAAATATTTCTCTGTAAAAAAAAAAAATCCACACTAATGAAGGTATTAAAATCGACACTAACAATTAAATTATTTAGATGTTCAATTATTTTAAGATTCTTATATCTTATTTGATATATTTTTTTTAATATCTCATTCTTTAATTACTGCGTTTAGAATTTATTGGTTGTTACCTATTTTTTGGTGAAATTTATTGGTTGTTACTTAATAAGTAATTATGGTGCGTTTATTTTAGTTAATATCTAATTTAAAAGATTTGTTTTCTTTTATTATTAATAAATGAATAACATGTATAGAAATAAAAGATTTTTTTTGCGACTCCATAATAAAAATATTAAACTCTTATTTTCTACATTTCTTACACATAATATCCTCTTATTCAATAACAAAAAATATATATTACATATTTTTAAAAATATTTATAATATTTAAATTATATAAAAAATTTGTAATATTAATATTATTTCAACTCTATACAAATTTAATATATATGTATATATATCTTATGGGAACCATTTAAAAGAAATTTTTAAATTGACTTGAATTATATAGCTTTTAAATAAAAGTATTATTAAAAAGAAAAATAACTAAATAATGTTTAATTTCACGGGACGGGTAATATGATGGGACGAGATTGGGTTGATATTTATAAAAGATCGTATACCACAGGTGAAATCCTAAAATTAACAATCAAAATAATCTATCAAACAAATTACATTTTGATTTTTTTAAGAAAATATAGCCCCGCGGTGTACCGCGGGTTAAAATCTAGTTTCTATGTATTTTGTAGATGATATTTTTTGGAACCAAGTCAGTGATCATCAAACTCAAAAAGCTGTTGATTGCATTGGTACAAGCATTTTTATTGCCAGATATAAAAATTTAAAGGGACATATCCTTGTATGTACATGAACGAAACGATTTTGACTCCCAAGCTACAAAGAAGGACAAGAATGATATACAAAGAAAACTGCATATCCTCACCATGAAAGCTAGAGGAAGGGGAATAACAGATACTCTGCGTAGAAGAGATTCCATATAAACCTATAATATCCTGAGATAGCTTCCTGCAATAACCAAAAATGTTTCTACGCTCCGTTAGATACACACTCCATTGATGTTCCGTGATAACAAGTTTATGTTTGTACAAGTATTTTACCTTGGTGTAGTTTGCTTTTTCTAGTACCCATGTCTACCAAAAATCAACAACAAAGATATTAGAGATTAATGAATCTGGCAGTGTCAAATGCAGAAACTAAAGCATATAGCTATCAAGTTTTTGAGCATTATCTCAGGCTGACCATAGTATGTAAGAGAAATAAGAGTATCTCACGATGCTTTACCTGGAAAATTAAGCATGAAGCCAAGATCAGATGTGCAGGAATCATCAAGCTACCTCTGAAAACCTGTTGATTGTTAAAGGATAAGAGGGCTGGTCTTTTTAAAGCTGCATACCAGGAAACTAACATATCGCAGAAAAAATAAAATGGTGGAAACAGTTTATCAAGCTTATACATGTTGTAATGGTGTCATGCTTTAATTAACCGCAATAGTTAAGGTGGAATTAGATGTATTCACCTGAGGCATGTAGAAAGCTAGTGATATGGCGGAAACATAGTTCACTAGCAGAAGTCCAGAACCGAGGAATGCTATGTTTCTCACTCCAAGTTTTGTTGCCAGGGTTGATATTTGGAACCTATTCAAGATCAATCAAAGGAAAAAGCATGATTAGATAAACATGCTTGAACAAACACATAAAGACAATATATCAAACAGAGCTGGTTAATCTGGGACAAAATTTTAATTGCGTTTTGAAAAGACACCAGGACCGTAAAATGGATTGAGCAAAGAGTGGAAAGAAAATGGTTATGCATGCAGATACTTACTTGCGATCTCCTTCAACATCAGGAAGATCTTTTGTAATAGCAATGACCAGTGCAAACAGTGTCACAAAAGATGTGATGAACGCCACAGGGGCACTGCAAATGGCGAATCAAAAGTTGAGTTATATATCGACTCATGATGAAAGCAAAGAACAATTGGTCCATCACATATTTTAAAACTCTATACATATAAGTATGCAAAGTCCATTTCACTATTTCGACCTGTTTATCAAGTATTGTGCATTTGACTACTAACCTCCACTGAAATGGAAGTCCAAGAGCAGCTCTTGTAGCATGGTACACACCAAAGTTAAGAAGGAAACCTCGTACCTGATAAGAGATGTCAATACAGAATATTTTATTAAGATTTTCCAAGCCATGTTGATAGTTGTATACAGATTGAGAAGCATAAAACAGGCTTTACCGTGGCAATAATAAGAAATGCTGCAATTGGGAATCTTTTCATTCTAAGCGGTGGAACAGAATAGATGGTTCCCAGAAAAAGGCCAAGAGAGTATAGGCTTGTAATGAATGGACCAAAGTTAAATCCGACAACTAAAAGCCCTGCTATCGCAAAAAATATCACTAACAACCAGGCAGACTGCACTGAGAGATCTCCTGCTGCTATTGGCAAATATGGTTTGTTCACTCTGCAGAACAAATAATTGAAATTCAAACCAAAATAACGAAAATTTGTAGATGCACATCAATGATGAGTTTCTACAATTAGCTTAACATTATTGCACAAACGT